AGAGTCTAGCCTGAGCCAAGGTTTGCCACCTCCACTCCAATGCAACAAACTAACAGGACCAGCATGTATATTTCTGCAACTTCCACTCAAATTATCCCCTCCAAGTCCATGTTGGTTCCATCTTTGGTCAATTGGTGCTATCTTCCCTGCAAATACCAATAAAAATGGTGGCAATGAACCAAGCTCATATATCCTATGCACTCTCTGAATCTTCATCCATCTTTCTAGTTTCTTCGTGTATCTGTACTTCCTCCATTTAATCAAATCAATCACCATTACACCTGTCGGTATAAATAAGTTAAATCCATCATTTTATACCATATATATGATGGATAGTATATAGTACTAAGCTTTATAACACATTAACATGCTTTGATAGTGTAAAAGTTATTATTTGTGCTGTCGGTATAAATAAGTTAAATCCATCATTTTATACCGATGCATGATTTAGTCGTTGACTCCTAGTTGTATTTTAGGTAAAGTATAAGGACTTACTTGATGAATGGTTATTGAAACAGGGTAGCTTAGGTGGATGTTTGGACATGTACATGTGTATTTTATTACTATAAAAAATATAGTACCGAACAAGCATATATTTTTATTATATTGCATTTTGACAAAGTATTTCATTCATGCATATTGGTTGAACCATTCTTTAAGAAAGAGTATCCAATGTGATCATAAACAATTACAGGAAAAAGGAAACATCATCATCATACCTGTGTTGAAGTAACAAGGTTTCCGGCCATGGAATGCGCGAAAAAACTTCTTGTGAGACCAAAATTTTGGGGTAAAATAGTTGGTGAAATTAGCATGGCAGTACTGAGGTGATCCAACAGTTGATAATCCAAGACTTGCTTTCCACAGATTAGATATATCATCGACTAAAACGATATCAGAATCTAAGTATATGACCCTTTCGACACAGGGCTCTAAGAGTTCAGCTAAGTAATTCCTTGCATAATTCAATGGATGTTCAAGAGTTTGCCTTATGCTAGACGAAATCTTGTTCTGCACAATCCCTGGATTGAAATAGTAAATCTTGAATGACAATAAAGGGAAGATTTTTCCCAAATGGGGTTCAAGATTTATAGTATCTGATGATGAAATGAAATGGAAGAAGAGATTTTCAGGGCAGTGAGAATGCTGAAGGATTGAATGAATTGCAGCGACCGATCCACGGAGGAATTTAGTGTCAAGGGTCATTGAAATATGGACTAAAGAAGGATTACAAATCTTTGTAGCAATTGAACTTATAGGAAATGTTGTACATTTTGGTGAGTTCTTGAAATTTGGTGATTGTCTATAGTTAAACAGAGGATCAAGATCTGAATTGGATGATTTTATTGCTTCTGCAGGAGGGCAAGATTGTAGAAAAGGATAAGCCAAAATGATCACAATTGATATAGTGATCATAAATCTTGAATTTTCTATAAACCAAGTCATTTTTTCTTGTGTAGACTTGTTGAACATCAAATTGGAGTTGATCCTTTTCTACTAAATTTCCCTTTGCAAAACACAAGAAACCTCTTATATTACATCTCTTTTCTCTTCTTCTTTTTCTTGTTGTTGTTGTTGAGTGCTTTTCAGGTTTAATAGGAACATGAGGTGTATGGATTGGACTGTGTCTTCATGGATAATTTCAACCCCAGTTATCATGTGGAAAAGAAATTAAAGTTTCACTTTTTATTTTGGAGGTGGGACCCTCCCCACTGCCCTGGTACTTAGGGGAGAAGTCAGTATTTTTGCTCAAATACTCAATATATTTGTTGACAAATTTATTAAATATGTACAAATATTAAATTTTAAACTCAGTTATTAACGATTGAAATTATAGTTATAAAATTTTGGTTGTAGGCCAATTCCATAATGGTGCTGTCACTACTACTGCAATAAAATGTTGACATATGTGTAATGATTAAAATGATATTGTTTTCTTGCTGCCCAATATAGATTAAAATATGATATTTGAAATACACAAGAGGAAGTTTAAAATGTTAAATGGAAACCAGTAGAATGCAGTATGTTTTCCACAATGAATCTTCCTGCACCTTGCTACAGTGACATAATAAAAGAAAGTCAAAGTTCATTTGTTTATACGTCAAAATCAACCAAAAGTCATAAGTTGATTCTTAGCAATTTATCTAACCATATAATTGTTTATTTATAAAAATCAGTTTCAACGCTTAAAATGTTGAAATTTAAAATGTATATGTTGTTTACCATCGTCTAATCCAAACAGACTCTTTGATCATAATAAGTGATTGGGAACAAAAAAAGGTAAATTAAAACACACTAATAGTTAAAAACTGAATTAAAAATAAATAAATTACACTGTCAAGGTATTAAAGTTTTAAAATTTATATAAAACGTATTTAATTGTTGTTTAATTTGTAATTAAATGTGTTGCTTTCGACAAGTATAGACGTTACAGCCATATGTTCAAAGCAAAAGAATCTTTTGGTACAAATATAATCCAACTAGTAATATTATTTTGAAAAGTTCAACGTCACAAAACGCATATAGAATTTTGCACCAATTCATTTTGTAAGTGGATTTGGGTGGTGATTTTAAAGTTTAATTCTAGATTTATATTTACTTGTATGTATTATTATTTTAGCCAATGTAGACACATAAATGTTTAAGAAGGTCAGCGCAATATCTACAATTTATTTGGTTAATTGTGCATGTACATCAATTATTGAGAAAACCTAAGTTTGTTTTTTTTTCTTTCCAGAAGATATATACCAACATTTTTTCATTCTAATTTGTTGAATACAAAATAGCATTTTTTAAAACTAAACAGTTCTCACATCTAAAAATCGATAGAGGCTAGGAGTGGGAGGAGCTATATTTAAGCCTCTATAAAATTGTCATGTAAGTTTTCACTCACTACCAAACGTTGTCGCATAGGGGCGGAGCCAGCCTTTCTGTTAGAGGGTTTATCTGAACCCTCCGGCGAAAAATATTACTATTTATACATAATTAAAACTAATTTTTATGTATATATAGTAGATGTCGGACCCCCTTCGATTAGTTCGTGTGTTTAGTTCTTCAGATTTTGAACCCCCTTATCAAAAATTCTAGCTCCGTCAATATTAATCAATTCCAAGGGTCAATTTCTTAAGATCTAAGAAGGTAATTATATTCTACATAATAAGCCAGTATTAATCATTTTGTGTAATTAGGTCTCGAGCCTAACTCACACCCCAAAAGCTAGCTCAAACACCCATCTCATTAACCATCAATGGGGACTTTTTGTCATTCTTTAACACATCACCTCTCGCCCAGTGCTTAGCATCTAGTGCGTGGACAAATTTTTGGGGGCCTCAACATTGGGTGAGATGGGCCCTGGCTCTGATACCATGTGAAATTAGGTCTCGAGCCTAATTCACACCCAAAAAGCTAGCTCAAAAGAAGGAGGATTGTCCAAGCCTTATAAGGAGTCCGCACATCTCATTAACCACCAATGTGGGACTTTTTGTCATTCTTTAACATAATTTTACTAGGAATTCTACAATAATACCTTGACTAGCTTTCAACTACTTCTAACAAATCAATGTCTCTTTGCACTTGTAATTTTTTTAGTTATTTTTCTCAACTTGTTTAGGTTAACGTACCAGACAATCCTAAACCATTATGACTTTTTCTTAAGCTATCAAGTCAAATTTACTATACGAGGAAGGAATTTTGTTGATTACCTAAACAGTACACTAATATTATCTGTTTTAACTTTTAAGAATTGGTAAAGAGAAAAACTTACCATTGTTAGAAGAAAAAAGGTATGGGATGGCGATATCAACCTAATTATTTGTGTTGCTCACATACATGATTGAACGATTCAAATTCGACATTGCGTACGTGTGGAACAAATCCGCACAAGTTTTGCAATAGAAAGCATTTAGGATAATTTGGTAGCTCGTTAGAGTTATACAAGTACATATTTACATCATATTTGGTGGAAAAAATTATGCGGTTAAGCAAACTTATACTACTTAATTACTCATCATAGCTATAGTTTGTTATAATTACCACTCGCGACTAACATTATACATTAATTACGTGGACTGACTTCGAGTTTGTATAATTAGTCGCGTTTTTATATGTATAATTCGCCAGAATATACAAATACATATGTATAATATACAATTATCTAACCGATATACATATACAATTCACCTCTCTTCCCTCTCTCGCTCGCCTCTCTCCTCCCCTCTCCCCTATCTCGCTTGCCATATATACAAATACATGTGTATAATATACAATTACTAACCGATATACATATACCAATTCACCTCTCCCACTCTTTGCCCTCTCTCGCTGGCCTCTCTCCCAGTCTCGCGCACCTCTCTCCTTCCTATAACATGTAGCTACGAATTGTAATTATCAAACTATAGCTATGAAGAGTAATCAGGCTATTTTTGAGTAGCTATATGTGAAAGTTCCTCTATTTGGTGTGCTGAATAATGGGCTTGTTCAGTTTAATCAGCCCATTGAGGAAAACATGGAAACTTTGGATCTTCATCAACTTTACAAGACAACCAAAGTTAAACATTAGCAGAATCTCAACCAATTTTAGGCAGCAAACAGATAACAAATAAAGTGCAAAACTTATAAGCCACATCTCCAATCATCAGCAACATCATATACACACATGAAATTTCTCTTTCTTCCTATCTTTTCCTAATACCCAAAAAAAAAATGACAACAACAAATGTCCTTCTGAGAAAAAAAATGTGTATTAATCAATACTTTTAGTACTGTACTAATCTACATGTAAAACTAAACACAAGTACAATTTATAACAGCATTCGAAAAAGACTACTCTATTATGAGTCTTAATTGGCAAATACCTCTTTTCTCCCATCTTTATTTCACTAAGTTCGTCTTGTATTTTTATTTATTTTTATAGTCGATTTCAATTGACATGTTTAAAATCATAAGATTCAAAAATATTCTTTTTCTTTCTTAAAAACTTGGTTTTAAACCAGACAACCAAATTAAAACGATTACGATTAATCCATTGAAGAAAACATGGAATTGGCAACATTTGAGGATATTCAACAACTTCACAAGAAAACAAAACAATGTGCAAAATAATCAAAAAGTCATCATCATCATTTTATACAATTTCATTTTCATCCTAAAGCTACCAAAATCAAGCCATTTCTCTAAAAAGGCTCTAAAAACCATATTCTTGTTTTCTTTTCTTTTTTCACTTAGCACTATTTCTTAATAACCCTAAAAAAAAGCTTTTACTACAAGCTTAAAAAAGGATCTTTCTACTTTTCTACTTTTATAATAATAAGCTAATAAAAAAAGGTTAGGGTTTTTAATACTGACTATTAGTGCTGATGACTGACTTTAGCCAAAAACAGAGCCACAAGACAGAGCCATCAGTAGAACTGCAGCTCTTTCAACTTCATCAAGTTTTCTTTGATTTCTTGGTTTCTTCATTGAAGATCTTTGCCTCTGTAATATCACTACTTCTTTCCCCAACATCATCAATTTCACCCTCAATACTTTGCTAAGCTTCCCATCTTTTCCATTTCCGATTTTACCCTTCTTGCAGTACTCAACCTCCTCAGTACTACCACTGTTGGAAAGGGGTTTCTCTTTCTTCTTCGTTGCCCCTTTGGTTAACCCAATTGGGCTACTCTTTTTCTTCCTGTATTTGATCCCACAAGCATTGCACAGTGACTGCAAATAAAGTAATTAGCAATGTGAATTAGCAGTCGATCAACTGATTTGGATCAAAACCCAGATCAGAAAATGAGTGTAATTAAACTTACTTTAGGCCCAGAAGGACCAGATCTCCATAAGGGTGTCTTTGTAGTTTTGCAATCAGAGCAAGATTTTGAGATCCCAGTTGCCTCACTACCCGAAGATTCCTCCTACATCACAGAAAAGGAATCAAGAACCAAAAATTAAAACAAATTGAAAAGAAAAAAGAGTAGAACAATCAACAATGCGGGCAAAATTGATTACGAATAGGGGTTTAATTTACCTTTTGGGTCGGATCCATGAACTTAAACTCGTCAAAAAAACAGAACAAAGTGGCAATTGGGAGAAATCTGAAGTGGGTTTTCGTGCTAAAACGAAAAGCAGAAAACCCCAAAGCAATGTATAGAGATTAATGGACCAAAAGACTTGGTTCCAGTGAAAAAGTTAGGAAAAATTGGAGAAAAAAGGCAAAAAGATTTGATTATTTGATAATGCGAATGTGTGTTTTGCAGGAACAGAGTGAGTTCAGTGAGGTGGCTAGTGTAATGATATAAAGGACACACTGGAAAAGAAAGTGGACTCAACCCTAATTTTACGGGTGAAATGACGGGAATACCCTTGGGTTTTGGTTTTGACGGCATAGATAATTGCTAAACTAATGCTAAATGTATACCACGTGTCCAACTGCATGCACCAGGACTCTTAGTTATAAAGTGTTTTTTTAATTACTTTTTTAATAAGATAAGTATTCTATGAATTAAAAGAAAAAAAAGCAAGATGAAAAGTTGTCAAATGCACTAAATAATTGTTGTCCACTATTAACAAAAAAAACTTGTCAAATACTAGAAAGATTCGAGTGAGCAACGAGAAAGAAAAAATAATTTTTAGTGGTAATAAATATGATGGAAATTACACGGATAAATAAATATATATACTTGTTAATTAGTTACAATTATAGTTTGAATTAATTACGGTTCGCAGTTTAATTTTAGTTGTAATTACGTCGCATCTCTCCTCTCTTCCTCTCTCTCGACTTGCTCCTCTCTTCCTCTCTCCTCTTTTATACATATACAAATACAAATTATTCATAAACATATACAATTATATGACAGATATACAAATACAATTAACCTCTCTCCACTCTCTGTCCTCTCTCGCTCTCCTCTCTCCTCCCTCTCCCAATTCCGCTCTCCTCTCTCCTCCCTCTCCCAATCTCACTAGCCAAATATACAATACATATGTATACTAGTTACATATATACAATTATCTAATAGATATACATATACAGTTCGCCTCTCTCCACTCTCTGCCCTCTCTCGCTCATTTTTTTCCTCTCTCAATCTCGCTCACCTCTTTCCTCCCTCTCTCAATCTTGTTCGCCAGATATACAAATGCATATGTATACCAGTTACATACATACAATTATTTGATAGATATACATATACAATTCGCCTCCACTCTCGGTCCTCTCTCGCCCGCCTCTCTCCTCCCTCTCCAATCTGGGTCGTCTCACTCCTCCATCTAACATGTAGCTACGAATCGTAATTAGTAACTATAGTTATGGAGCATAATTAAATTATTTTGAGCAGCTATATGCGAAAATTCCCCTAAATATAAATATAAAAAAAATGTATTAAAGTCTTTATCGGTATTAGTTACTTATCTTTTAAGTCAATGTGACAGTAAATTTTAGAAATGTTTTTAAAATATATAATTACCACTAAAAATACATATTTAACGATAACTAAATTATTATCGTTAAAGATTATTTTTAACGTGGCACGTCCATGTCTTGTCTAAATCTTAAAAAATAGGTCAAAGGAAATGTTCGCTTTTCGACCAAATTTAAGGAACGTACTAGCTAGCCTTTTAACCAAATTAAAGAAAACAATAAAAAACTAGAACTTTTATGCACTATATATTTAATATCGTTATATTGTTTAATTATTTATATGAAATTGTCCCAGATTAATATCATAAAATTAAGGACACTTGGAATACGTATCACACATTTTTTTTATGTGAAAAACTCAACATAAGGAAGTTAACTACAAATAAAAACAAAAAGGAGGTGCCTAAAAAAATTTCCATTAATTAAATATTAGGAAACTTTTCTTCTTCGGAATCCTAATTAAACTAGAAGTTGTATATTCAATTTCTTTTCCTATTCCCAATTGGCTGATAACAAAATTAGTACAAATTTATGATTCCACTAAGGAAAGTCTTGTTAATAAATTTCTACTCCAAATCAAATTAGTACAAATTTACTCTTTATATAAAGTAACCCCTCCCTCAGTCGATCCAATAACACATCTTCTTTCTTAGTAGTAATATTTTAGCTTGATCATTTTCCTTAATATGAGTTTGTTTAACGTTAACTTCAACGAGCTCCGCCCCTCAAACACCACCACCATCATCGGTGTCATGTATGATGATGGTATCATTCTTGGTTCCACAGACGCAATCACACAACTCAATGCTAATGTTGTCTTATGTCATTGTGCGCATGAAATAGAAATCTTACTAGAAGATGCACGAAACTTTATTGTTGATCAAGAAAATATTAAGGTCACAGCTGAGACAATAGGAACGATGTTATCTGCGTTTAAGCCCGTGATGAATAATATGCTACAAACTAGTGTTATTATTGGTGGAGGGAAAAAATTATATGAGATAAGTGAAGTTGGAATTGTTATGGAAAAGTTAAATTTTGCTGTAGGAGGGTATGGAGTTGCATATTTGAATAATTTCTTGGATAAAAAATGGATAAAAGGGATGAACGAAGAACAAGCTGAGAAATTGGTGTTAAAGATATTGTCGTTAGATATTTCATTAGGTGGAGTTCGTAGTTGTGGAATTCAGACTGCAAGTATTAATTCAAAAGGTATCACAAGAGCGTTTCATCCTCATAACACACTTCCAATTAGAGGAAGGGATCTTGTCAAATATGCACCTGCACGTTCAGTTTATTTGCATCAACGTCAATAAAGATGTCTTGATTCAAGAGGACTGCTCCGATAGTAAATTGTAGATTTGAGTCCAATGGGATCGAAAAAGTTTAGATTCTATCTTTTTCAACACTTATTGTGGCATTCGTTTTATTTCAATAGGTGGCAATGTAGTAGTTTTGTTAAGAATATTATCAATTTAGTATATTAATTACCATTCGCGATCAATATTTAGTGATAATTATGTGTGTTGAGGTTTTGAGTTTGTATAATTCGTACGTTTATATAATTCGGAATTTGGTTAATATAATTTGTTTAACTTTGTATAATATATTTGTACAACTGTTTAAAGTTTAGATGTTTGTGTTTGTAAAAATTCGTCATTTCGAGTTTATACAAAAATAACTCAATTATTTACACATACCCGCAAATTATACAAACTCACCTGTGAATTATAGAAACGAGACAACACAAAATTGTAGGTACAAACCCTAAATATGCAAACTATAGCTATGTAGCATAATTAATTTTATTATAGTAGCTATTTGCGTAAATTCCTCTTTAAAAAATTACAAAATTCCTTCTTTGATACATCTCTATCCCCTTTTGGATACATTCCTACCCTCTCGAATACATTCCTCCCATTAAGTAATGTATCTTTTGCAATGTATCGGACAACTGTGAAATGTATCCGAAAGCATTAAAAAATCCAATTTTTTTGTAATTAAAAAAAAATCAGGATAAAATATAATTAGCCTCCAAATATATGAAATTTCTATAAATTTCCCAACAAATTAACCAAACCCATTAATTATAGTTTGAACAAAATTTTGGTACAGCTTTATAACTGGTTGTTTGACGAGATTTAAAATATGTTTATTTCGAAAATACTTCTATTAGAATTGTCTTTCGAATAGTTGTCTGTATTTTGCTAATTAACTTAATTTTTCTTTTATCAATATTAAAATATTAATTTATATTTGACTAAAGTTTCAAAGTACTTTCAATTAAACACTATTTTTTTGGACACCTGAAAATAGTTTTTCCATATAAGTATTTAAGCACTTTTAGCTTTTCCCTAATTTGGTCAAACAAACCCATCGACAAGGAGGACACCCCAAAATTGATTGGTTAAAACTTTTGTATCGAATGTTTATATCAAATAAATAAATATAGGACATGTACTAAAATATTCACACTTATTATTTAGTTAATTATAATTAATTAATATAAATTTTTACTTTATTAAATTACTTGACTATAGTAGATTGTATTGTTATGGACTTCCAATTGGAGAGAGAACTTTGCTGGAATGCTTATGTGCACGTTGGGGAGGCTCTATCCTAAAGCCATCGAAGTAATGGCTTTATGTCGCTAAAGAATAAGGTCTCAAAATTATTCAATGGTAATATATATAAATATAAATAATTATGTATTTATTATTAGTATTAATTTTCTTAAGGGTAAACTACATAAATCCCACTAGTTTAGATCCTAATTACTAGGAATCTCGATAGTTTTTATATTACATTCTATATCATTTTTGGCTGTTGGATACATGTGTCGAGATACGTCAGATACATGTATCAGTCGGGTGTATAAGACCGAGATACACGATTTAAAGTCTCAAATACATGTATCAGTCTGGTGTATGAGGCCGAGATACACGTACTTTTGAATTAAATATTGTAACTTAATGCCTTAATTAGCGGAGTAAATTATGAGATACAATTGAAGTTATATACATGTTTAAAGCGTTTGAATTAAATGATTATAACTAATTTGCTCAATCAATAGAGTAATTCACTACTGTTAACAGCTTTTGAGGATCTGCAACATAACAACTTCAATTTTTTCCCAAGAATATAGAATTTTGTTCATTCTTTTTCGAGAAACATAAAAAGTGTATAAAATCTTCTTTTTTCCATTGATTCAATTTTATTTCTCCGAATCTTGATCTCTGCTTTTTTCATAATAGCCATTTTTATTCCATTTCAAAAATATGATGGTGAAAGTTGTTTTCACTATAGCCAAATTCATATACATACCAGATACATTAGCAGGAAAATCAGATTCAAGACATCAACAACTTAGATACATTAACAGAAAGCAAATACAAAACATTGAAAGCTTAGATACATTAACATAAAATATCAAATACATAAAAATATTACATCAGATAAATGAAACAAACAAACTAGATACATAGGATATTCAAAATCAAACACAATTCATAGTCTCGATGGTGAAAGCGGAGGAAATTGGCTGAACAGAGAAGACAGTGTCGGCAACGGCGACTGTTATAGTCAGAAAAGTAGTAGTGTTGATGCCGAATCTAGGTATAACAGTGATAATGATTCCGATTGCTCCGATCTCGCTCTTCTTGTTGGCTTTTGATTTTATTTTTATAAAATTTGCAAGTTTTGGTTTTGAAATTGTTTAGTTTGAAGTAGTTCATGTTTGAATAGGAGTAATCTTCATTTCTGTGTTGAGAGGATGAATGAAAATCTTTTTTGATAGATATTCTAAAGAAATTATATGTTGAAAGGATGAAGGAAGAGAAAAAAAATGGTGGATAACGTGGG